CAATCCACCCGAGGAGAAAACACCAATGGGACTGGTAAACAGGGGGGGTCATTCTCAGAGTTCTTTCAGGGTCATAATAGCTGTTCACACACACACACACACACACACACACACACACACACACACACACTCATACTCAAACAATAACAGAAAACTTATTTTTAAATTTTACTGGCCATGGACTAAGAACTGATATTTAGGTTACCCTACATTCCATGTTCCAACATATAAACATTTTCTTGGTATTCTATAGTTTTACAGAATGAAGAAAGTCATGAATCAAGGTAAACTTAAAATAGATTGGTGCATACATCAAAGGGGTGGATACAGAAAGGTAGGAGAAGCTTTTCCCTAGGTCTCAGATGCTATTTGGTAGTACTTTTAGCATTTGAGCTGATGAAACGTAGTGGTCTGCTAAATTAATAGATTTAAAATGTTTTTTTTTTTTTTTACTCTATTGGTCACAAGATGTTAGTTCAGACTCAGAAGTGGGCAAGCAGTGTCTATTCAGGAGGCTAAAGCTAGCCAAAGATAAATGGAGTGAAAACATTCCGAACTCCTGAAACCACTGTAGTTATAATTAGTCAGTCTTTACAGACACAGCTTCTTTCCAGGAATTCTCATTGATAGTACTAGTTTGGCCATGGAGAAGGAATGTATGTCTTCTAGGCTTTAGAACTTATGCACATTTCTGTTAGTCCAGCTCTTTCTTCAAGAAACAAGAGCACTGAATTCCAGATTCTTCCATATATGCTATTTGGCTCTCAAGGCTTAATGCTTTATCACACACTCTACTATCTAGCTCTGGCTGGCTGCTGATCAGATAGTTCTATAACTTCTCCCTGTTCTGAAGCCTAAAAATAAGGTATTATTGTATATGGCTCCAGATGATGCTCTCCTCTTGGCTTTCATCTCACTGTGTGTTGACATTTTTTTATAGAGTACAAAGAGTCTTGGTGTCCTCCAAGGCCCGAGCCCTCTGTCCCTATGTCCAATAATAGTCATGTTTTAGAGTTTTTAGAGTTTTTAGAGTTTAGAGGTTTTAGAGTTACAATGTATGAATATTGAGTCTATTTATTTATTTTATTTATTCTAAAGATTTCACCCTTGGCCTGACAAAACCAATGTCATTTTCCCAAGCAAAATACTTTTATTGAACCTCCAAAACCTGCAAATATTTAACTCATCCTAGCATTAATCCTAAAGTCCAAAAAGCCAAATTTATCCTGAGTCAAAATTTTCTCCAGCTGCGAACCTGTGAAACCAGAGAAGTCTTAAATCTTGCTGGAAAGGCAGCTAAGTAGTTAAGAGTACTGGGTGCTCTTGGCAAGGACCTGGGTTTCATGCCCATCACCCACCTAGTTGCCCACATCTGTATCTCCAGCTTCAAGGAATCTGATGCCTTCTTCTGGCCTCTGCAGACAATGCAGGCACATGGTAAGGGATGGGGGGGGGCGGGGGAACACACATATAAAAAATAAAAAACAAATAATATTAAAGTATAGTTGTAAAACAGACATTTGTATGCCCAAAGGGAGATATATGAAAGAATAAAAAAGAAGACATCCTAAGCAAGTGCTTAATGTAAGAAGACCAAGTATGTTATGATGGGAGAGGTCATTCTGTATATGTTTCTCATACTGGTTAATGAATAAAGCACTGTTGGCCAATAGGAAAGCAAGATAGGCGGGACTAGGAGACAAGGAGGAAAGAGGAAGTAGGAAGGATGAGCCAAGATGGAGAGTCAGGAGAAAGCAGTATGCCGGCCAGCTCCCCGGTAAGAGAAATACATAGATCAGCAGAAATGGGTTAATAATTAAGGCAGAGCTAGCCGATAAGAAACAAGTAACCGGGCCAACAGCATAATATCAAATACAGAGTCTTGGTGTGTTAATTGGGGCTGGAGCAGTGGCGGGACAAGACCAGGCGGCAGGCGGAAAAACCAATACTCGTTACAATGTTAGATCTTAAGTCTTGAGAATATAATCGTAAGTTCTGTGTCCAACTTTCAGGCCAACTGCTGTGACAATGCTACCTACTTTCTTGAATCTGTATGAGGCCAACTCCTCCTCTGAACAGAGTCCTGATCCTGTAGTTTGGTAGTGTTCCATTCAAGCAGTTCTCAATACGTGTGATGATATATTGTTTATTATGTATTAAAGCCATTTAGACCAAAATAGCAAAGCAGCCATACTAGTTAGCCATAGAAGCCAGGCAGTGGTGGCACACACCTTTAATCCCAGGACTCAGGAGACAAAGGCAGGTAGATCTCTGTGCATACAAGGCCACCCAGGGTTACACGAAATTGGAGATTGAATCAGTCTAAAACAGTAACAAAGTTCATACCTTTAATCCCATGACTCATGAGAGGTATTTAAGTCAGGAACAGGCCTCAGAACTGGCATTCATTCTCCAGCCATGCTGAGGAGAGGCAGTAGTTTGAGGCTTGGTGAGAGTTCTTGGAGACAGCATCAGCCCTTTCAGCCTGAGGTACAGGTAAGAGCTACTGGCTTGGTTGCTTTCCTTTTCTGATCTTCAGCTTGAAACTTGAACCCCAATACCAGTCTCTGGGTTTTCATATTTCATGGTACAAATAAGAAACAAACCAGACTTAGCCTACCCTCTCCCACCCTCAGCTGAATCTACAATTATACCCTAAGTGGAAGTGTCAGCCACAATGATCATAAAAGTACTTTGATTACTCTTCTGTTTCTTGAAAGACATGGTTCATTCACAATAGAATAGTTCATGGCTTCATCATATAGAATCCAGAAGGCATGATGACTTTCTTTCATTCTGTTCTACTTATGAATTTTACATTAAATTGTCAGCATCTCTGCTGGAGTGATTCCCACCTCCCTCTCTGTGGCTTTCTGCTCAGATGGCTGAATGAGTACACTTATACCTGGCACCCATGATGTTTCTGTCAAGGGGCTACTCATTCATATGTATTTAATAAAAAAGTATGGTGGTGCATGTCTGTAATCCCAGCACTGGAGAGGTAGGGGCAGGGCAACTGGGAGTCACCCTCAGATGCTCAGTGAGTTCTAGGCTAACCTGGGCTACAAGAGACCATGTCTCAGAAAAACAGATAGAGAGGAGTCTAAATGTCTCAGCTGTGAGTACCTTTACACGCTGAGACAGAAAACATGAGTTTGATCCCCATGACACCAACTAACACACTTGCACACACATGCACAAACAAGATCAAACAAATGTAACACAAAAAAAGAAGATAGGTAGATAGATAGATAGATTGATTGATAGATAGATAGATGATAGGTAGATAGATAGATTTCCAATATCCATTGGCTAGTACTGTTTGACTTAATAGTTCCTTTACCTAATCACCTCTTTTCTTTGACATTTACTCATGCAACAGGATTAAATCTGTCTCTTCCCAATTTTGCTAATCAGTCATTCCACTAAATACACAATTTTGTTACTTGTAAGTTCTATCTTCAACACTTGAACTAAATCAGCCAAGTTTCTGTGCCACTTCAAGACAAAGATCAGCTTTCCTCCAGTTTGGAAATGCCCTATAAAATGGCATGTGGTAGCCATCATTAATATTTTGCTCATTAACATTTATTCACCAAGAAAATGGAAACATCCATTTTGCCTTCTAAACACTCCCCATTTCTACTGGCAGTCGCTTTGCAGTGAGTTTTCCCAACATGATCCTCGGAATTATTTTACCCTTTCCTCATTGCTCAGATATACAGCCGCTTTCACAGTTTTGGGTGTGTTACAGTGCCCACTTTCTTGGTACTCTAATCTGCCAGCCTGCTATAATTCCCATAATAAAATGTCACAAACTCGGTAGCTTGCAGGATGTGACAAACTTATTTTCTCATGATTTTGGAGAGGAAGTCTGATATCAAGGTACAGGCACAGGCCATTTCTTGTGGCTCCACCCCTGGATTATAGGCTAATAGGCATTTCATGGATAAGCATGACCATTCTTTGCTGGGTTTGCTGATAGGCTGAGCTAAAAGCAGAAGGCTTTGACTAAAGTCCACAAAAGAACGGGCCTCTTGTGAAATGTCTACCTCACAATGACCAGAATCTCATATGCTTCAGTTTTTAGGACCTTAGAAAGCTTGAATCTGGTTGCATTTTTTAAAACACGCTTTCATGATTTCAGCAATCTTGAAAATCTTGAAGCTTTGAAAGCAATGTAGAGATAATAAACCTCCAGGTACACATCTCCAGCACTATCCTCTTTCATAGAATAAAAATGAATCTGAATTTTAACCAGCTCCTCAAATGCAGACACTTCCAAGACACACAAGTTCCCACTATTCCTTAAGCCTGTCACCTCTGTTTTCCCCAGATCAGTAAAGGACTTACTATAAGCCACTTATTCAAGCCAACAGTAAAACGTAATGATTTTCCTATGCTACCAACCCAAACTGTGAGTCACCAGAGACCAAGACCTGTGTAAATTAATCCTCCACATTTCTTACTCGCACCTCTCATAACTGCCTCTGCCCTCTCTCACCCAACTACCTCTCTGAAGTCATCTGCATTGCTCCTCAAGTCATTGTAGTCTTCTCCCTTCCCCCATACCCTTTGGTTCTGGTGCATTAAAGTTTTTGCATTACTGTTGTCTCTCTGAAACTCTGGTCCACTAACTTTCCTATTGCATCATTTTCAACTCAGGTAAAAAAATAAACCTACTTGGAAAAAGTTTACATTTTAAATGTTGAAATGTAAATATCAATGGCACTTTAAAGATCTCTTGTATACCATAGATAATGCATGATTTGTGTTTATGTATATACTTTATAGACAGGGATGTCGTTAAGTAAAAATGAAATGCACATACATTTCATTATATGTTTATATTTATGTGTGTATGCACACATACACACACATATGTGCCATATATATCCCATCTATGCCAGAGTTTGAGTTGTCTTGATATTGTTCAGGTCATGTGCTGACAACCATACCTTCATGATTGCAATAGACATGTTATGTTCAGAAGATAGCAGAAATACATTACATAATGCTGAAAAAAAAATGTGTATCCTTGTGCGGGAGCCATGCTAAGTTCTCTGTGTTGTGCCAATTTTAGTATACATGTTGCCAAAGTGAGCACCTGTTTCAATTCCTTAAAACAGGGTCTGAGGTTATCAAATCCTATCATTCCCCCTCCAATTAAACATTACTCGATGAAATAGAGAACTGTTCTACATATCTAACTAGTGAACCAGAGAAGAATGTCTTAGCCCAGACAGCCTTTTATTGTCCAAAGCATGTTCATCTGACTTTTGTGTAAAAAAAAAAAATGTCTGCTGCTAATACAGGAAATTCCTATTCCTCCTACCCACCTGGAACACAGTAACCCTGGAAGCAGTTGACTCCTTTGTTTTCTACCTTTTCCCAGTTTGTCCACCAGATTTCTGTCTCACAGCAACAATGACTTCTTTTAAGGCTTATGCTCTGTTGGCTGAATTGCACTACAGGAATCTTCTCTAAATGTTGTAGATCTATATCTGATAGATGTTTGTTTAAAGTCATGATGGAAAAGGGTCACACAGCTCAAAAGCACAAACAAAAAAAAGGCTGTTTCATCTGTTTTAGATGTCCACTGTGGTAAGTTTTTCCACCCTACATGCTGAAATTGTACAGTTAGCTGTCTCATCTATTGGATGAGTTTGTTGAAGAATGACATCTTACCTGGGTCTGTATACTGGTTTCTAACACCCTTCCCACCCAAGAGATCACATGTAATTAATTAATGACAAAACTGCAGCTACTCAGAATGGGTATTCACAGCTGAAACTTGAGAGAGCTGTGAGCATCTGTATTTCCTCTTAGTCACTCTTTGGTCTTAAATTGCATTAGCAAGGAATGGGAGGAGCTCACAGGACACTATGAACCTGTACTTCCCAGTGCAGCAGAGCCAGCTGTGATATTTTAAACTTACATTCAGTAATTCAAACTTCAGGCTGACAATTTCATTCACCACATTTTAAGTTTCCGGGAGCTGCTGTATGTACTGGACAAACTATGCACGTGACTGTAGTTAGAGGTTTCTCATTCTGCCTGCCAGTTCCCAAATAACCACTCTAAGGTTTAATATTAATTGTAATTGTTTAGCAAATGGCTCAAGCATATTACTGACTATCTCTCACAATTAATTTAACCCATTTCTATTAGTCTCTTTATCCCCTCATGGCTGTGACTTTCTGGTAATGTTCTGGCATCTTACCCCTTCTGCAGCTACATGGCATCTCCCCTACTCCACCTTCTTCCACTCCATATCTCTGTTTGGATTTTCCTCCTAGTTATATTCTACCTGGTCATTGGTCAAACTGGCTTTATTCATCAACCAATAAAAGCAGCACACATTCACAGCATACAGAAAGGCATTCTACATCATATGACTTTCACTAAAGTTCTCCAGGGTAGCAGTGGGCTAGGGACTTCTTGTTCCTCTGGTCTAATGAGCTAGCTCATTCAAAAGTCTCCCATCAAATAGCATATGAGAATCAGGTCACAATACAACATAGATACCAGATTAATCTGAGTTTTGGTATCTCCTGACTCAATGTCTCATGAGACACTCAAAAATTAGATACAAAGGAAAACAAAACAAAGAACCCAGAAATTTGAGTCTTTGGCAAGGAAATAGAGGGATAGATAGGAACTTTCATATTCTGTAATATGAAGACACTGTTTACTCCGTGTTGTAGAAAGGAATTGACTCATATGAGTCATTAGAAGCTTAGCGAACACACTGTTAATGGTTTATTTGTTCTGAGTTAAACTATTCCCAGTCCAGATGCCACTGGAGGAGTACAAAGTTAATGTCAGAAGAAACTGGTTAGACTTTCTGTCAGGAAGATCCTGAGCACAAACAGAATGAGAAGAGGGTGGAAGGATATAAAGCAAAACATGGACACCACCAGGCTCAGAAATGTGAGCTCTGGAATGACTAGCTAGCATCCTTTGTCCCCACCCCATCTTCTCCATATGGCAATAACATAGGAGACTTGTTGGGAACCAGCAGTCTGCTGACCCCGCCCCCGACGATGGGCGGGATGCTCATGGCCATGTCATAGCTATATCAGGCTTCACCTGGCTGCTCAAGCTTTACCTGACTGCCTGAGGACTCAGTTATGCATGTGCAATCCCCCCTTTCAAAGCAAGTGGGCCAAATGCACCCCTCTCTCTTGCCTTCTCTCTCTGCTCTTTCTCCTTCTCTCTCTCTCCCCTGCTTTCAGTTGGCCACCAGCTACTCCCCTTTCTCTCCCTTCCCTCAATAAACTCCACATGGGTGCTGAGTCTCGTGTTTGTGTTTCTTATGCGAAATTATAGCAAAATAACAAGACTGATTTTCAGGATTGCACTGTCCTCTCAGACTGCTGGCTCTCTGAATACAGCTGAGTTTTAAAGATTCAACTCCTGTCTCTGTTTCCCAGCTATAATTAGAAATTTTGCAGTTTTGTTAGCAAAGGGAAAAGTTAAGAGTATCCTTCCTTGGAGTCTGGGTCCTTTGGCTCTGGGAATTTTATATGTAGGGAATTGAGAAGGCCCACAAGGTAGAGAGAACTCAGAACACGGTAAGAGTACATTGATGAAGGCTGAGAAGGTTCCAAATACGTTTACGTAATTCCTTCTCTCCTTTAGTTTCCACAGTGAAGAAAGAGATGCTAAAGTATCAGTGCCTGCCAAACCCATCAATTCTCAGAAATGGATATGCGGTGTCTTTGTTCCTACATCACAGGCCTAAAATTATTTTTCCTACCAAAAACTTAGTCTTTCATGTTCTAGTGAATATACTAATTAGTCATGCTCACTCAAATGACCCTAATTAAACTCAAAGGACAAATGAGTATGTGGGTATAGTGTAACATTTCAAAAAGAGAATAAGAATGGATAATTTAAAAAGATAAAATGAGTACTAATATGTCCACATAGATTGTATACTTTGTATAAGTCCTTTGAATGATCTTTCAAGGTACACCATATTTTCCATGTAAAACAAGTTCCTAAATAGGCAATGACTATGCATGATTCCATGCAGGATGTTACCTTATTAGAAGATATGATTTTAAATTGTTTTTCACTGCTTTAATATTGCTGTAGGCTATAGGATTTTTGTGTTACTAAACTTAGTGAATTTTGTTCTTCCAAAATGGATTTTAGTTACCTACATCATAGGATATGAAGAGTGTTAGAAGTATGTGGGAAATGGTCAGAAGTTTGAAATTCCTAACTAATAATTTCTGAATCTCAGAAAGTAATATTGCAGTAGATAACAGAGATCAGTCCATGAAACTAGAGTCTGGGGTGTGGGTTTTCAACCAGAAAAGCTGGGGAACCAAAGAGCATGCAAGAAGCTTTAAGGATGTAAAATGCCTCTTGTGCTGAGTTTTTATTAGGAGTAACTACATGCATAGGTATTATTTGGTCATTAAACTGAGCTAACAAAAGATAGAAGGTTCTGCCTAACACACCACGGGGGAAAACAAAGTTGAGGAAGTGTGAATAAAAAAACATACAGGCATATGAAACGTCTTTACATTTTCAGAAACAGCACATTCCAGGTTCCTGAGCCGGAATGCCTGGTGGACAGAGTATTTCCTTCTGTCCTTAGTGAGCCATGGGTCAGAAGGTGCTTATACTCAGAAAGATTCAAAATGTGCTTCTTTCTTATACAAGGCTATTAGCAACATATGATGCCAGAATTTGAAACACTGAGAAAATTGCATTTTAGTCCCTGTGTTATGGTTCTAAAATATATCATTATTACCAAAGGAATTTGCTTTAAAACAAACACACAAAATGTAGTCTTCCATGTTTCAGAAAATAGCCTATCAGTCATGTTCATGCAAATAACCCTAAACTCAGTGGGTCATGAAAATGCCCAGAGAGCCTTGTTAGGGGGAAGAAAAGAAGAGAGAAGGAAGGGAGGGGGAAAGGAAGGAAAGAAGGGTTTCAACAGGACTGAGAGGGAAGAGAAGATGATGGTAAAAATCCCAAGATACACTCTATACGTGTACAAATTTGTCAAAGAACATAAACAGTCTAGATTTATTCTTCGTGTAAATAAAGAAGGTGAAGAATAAATCCAGAGGAGCTCTTTTAGGGAGAAATGTATCTATTTCTTAAATAAGTGATACATTAAAAATGTTTAAATAACCTGAAATAACAGAATATATATTGGGGCTGGAGTGGTCTACAGATAAAAGCACTTGCAGCTTTTAATGAGGACCTTGGTTTTATTTCTCAGCACTTAAATCCAGCAGGGTCCGGTTCTAGGAGATCTGTCCTCCACAAGTATCACACATATGTGGTTCACATGCAAATAAGCAGGCATACACACATACACTTAATTTTTTAATAAGGTTTATATTAAAAATCTACCTTTTGGGCGTTAGTGGCACACAACTTTAATCCCAGCTCTTGGGAGCAAAGGCAGCTGGATCTCTCTGAGTTTGAGACCAGCCTGGTCTACACAGTGAGTTCCAGGACACACTCCAAAAACAATACAGAGAAGCCCTGTCTCAAAAAAAGAAAAAAAAATCATGATTTAAAAGTGTTAATATCTTCAGAGCTGCATATCTCTTATCTTATATTTGGTATTGGTCTCTAAGTCTTGTATAGCGGATTAAATTCTTGCTGTATTTTTAAATTTGAGTAAGAGCTGTGTGCATTTAACTGTACTTAGCTTTTATTGTCCATGATGACATTCACAGGGGTCTTGACAAAGCAAAGAAAAACACTTTCTTTTTAAATAGTTTATTTGTAAGTACAGAGCCTGAGCTAACAAGTAGTTTTGCATATAATATAGGCTCTGATTTACTTGTATTGTTGTCAGGATCAATTATGAAACCTAAGTTTGGTGCCTCTTTTTTTTTAAACCATGTTTTTCCCCCTGTAGCAGTAGTGTTTAATGTCATTAAAAAGAAATAAAAGTTCTTGGCAAAAAAAAAAAAAAAAAAAGAATCTACCTTTTTAGTTGAGTGTTGTAATACATACCTTTAATCCCAGCACGTGGGAGGAGGAGGCAGGCAGATTTCTGAGTGTGAGGCCAGCCTGGTCTATTGAGTCAGTTCCAGGACAGTCAAAGCTACACAGAGAAACCCT